CCGCCGCCCTCCGCGAGAACATGCAGCGGCACGCCGCGGCGGCGCGTCGTGCGCCGCGCGTTGGGCTCCTCCTCGGGGCCCAAGGCGCCACCGCCGCCGCCGCTGGCGGGCGCGCCGCGGCAGAAGCGCCTGTGGACCGCGCGCAGGACCTGCGGCGCGGGGTGTCATCGGCGGGCCCCTCAGGGGGCCCGTCGAGGGGGCCCCTCGGGGGGCAACAGCAACAACAGCAGCAACAACATGATCATCATAATCCTCATCCCCGCCATCATCATCATCATCATCATCATCATCATCATCATCATCATCATCATCATCATCATCAGCATCATCATCATCATCATCATCAGCATCATCATCATCATCATCATCATCATCAGCAGCAGCATCATCATCATAAGCATCATCATCATCAATATCATCATATCATCATAATCATCATCATCATCCTAATCATCATCAGCATCAGCATCAGCATCGTCATCATCATCAGCAGCATCAGCATCAGCACCAGCAGCATCATCACCATCAACATCAGCATCGTCTTCGTCGTCATCATCATCATCATCAGCATCATCATTCTCAGCAGCAGCAGCAGCAGCATCGTCATCACCATCGTCGTCGTGATCATCATCATCATCATCATCATCATCATCATCATCATCATCATCATCATCATCATCATCACCACACTCCTCACCATCAGCATCATCATCAGCACCATCAGCAACAGCACCAGCACCAGCACCAGCATCAGCATCATCCTTACAAGCATCATCATGGTCGCCATCATCATCACCATCATGATCATCCTCGACATCAGCACAATCATCATCATACTCAGCATCGTCACTATCATCATTATCATCACCATCATCAGCACCAGCACCATCATCAGCAACATCGTCATCGTCATCGTCACCCCCAACATGACTCATCTTCGTCGACGGCGCCTTCGGCAACAACAATGTCATCAACACACATCCATATCGTCTCCGCTCCGCGTCCTTATCCGAAGCATCGCCCTACGCATCCTAATCCTCAATATTACGACAATGATCATCAACACCACCACCATGATCACCACAACCACCATCGCCACCACACCACCCTCGCCATCACAATAACCAACATCACCATCCTCGTCATCATCCGCTGCATCGGATCAAGTCCAGCATCATCATCCGCATCCGTATCCGCATCATCATAATCATACTCAGCATCCACATTAGCATGCTCATCAGCATGGTTCGCATCACCACCAGCATCGTCAGTATTCTCACCATCAACATCAGCAGTAGCATCAGCAGCATCACCAGCATCAGCCTCGTCAGCATTATTAGCATCGTCGTCGCCAGCATCAGCAGCAGCATACACATAAAGCATCACCAGCATCATAACCATCCTCATCATCAACATCCTCAGCATCATCATCAGCATCGTCATCATCATCACCATCATCGCCATCATCACGATCGTGATCATCGCTGTTGGTGTTTTCGTCGTTGTCAGCATCATCATCATCACCATCATCATCAACAGCCTACTCAGCATAATGATCATCTCCATCAGCATCGTCATCATGTCTTTCAGCGCCGCCACCAGCATGCACAGCAGCATCAGCATTATCATCACTACCATCATCACCATCATCATCGCTGATAATGTCGTCGCCAATAGCAAGCAGCAGAAGCAGCATCATGAGCATCAGCATCAGCATCATCACCATCACCACCATCCATCACCATCATCATCACCACCATCAGCATCCGTATCGGTATCGTCATCACCATCATCATCAACATCATCACCATCACCATCACCACCACAATCACAACCATGATCAGCATTCGCATCATCGTGATCATTGTGATCATCGTCACCGTGATCATCATCACCATCGCCATCATAATAGAATATGCATCGTCTGCATTATGATGATCATCACAATCGTGCTCAACAACGTCATCAGCATCATCAGTATCAACAACATCAACATCAGCACCATAAGCACCATGATCTTTATCACCACCACCACCATGATCATCAACATCACCATCAACATCATCGTCGTCGTGAGCACCACCATCGTGATCGCAACCGCCATCATGATCACAATAGTTGCCATCACAGCATCAGAACATCCCGCGTGAACTCCAGACCTCTTCGCGTGCCTCCTCTCAGCATCAGCAATTCTGAACAAAAACTGAAATTGTGCGCACTCGGCCAGCCTCTGCGACACTCCCGGCGCCGCACCTGGCCTGGTGGAGCAACGCTCGGATTTTCAACGAAAAGTTCAAACATACCCTCAAAATAAGCAACAAATTGTTCAAAAATAGTGCGGGGACTATTTTTTGACCATTTTGGAGCATGTTTTAAATATCTTTAATTTTTCGTCGAAAATCCCCCTGCATGGGGGACACACCCGACTTAAAACTCCCCACTTGTTTGCCAACGGCCTGGCCGTTGGGGGTGGTGCCTCGTGCCCCGATCAGCGGTGGACAAACTTCCCTTTAGTAAACATCCCCTTAGTGAAAACGGCCTGGGACCGAAACCGACGGACCTGGACCCGCAAAAATGACGGCCGCGACGCCCTCTCGCAAACCGAAAACGGCCAATTCCTTAGTCGACGTGTCAGGGTAGGAGGTCTATCCACCTCCGACCCGAAACTGATACATAAATAAAGAAAAAAAACGTGAAGAAAAAAAAGAAGTTAAATATTTAAAAAACCAATAGAAAAAAAAAAGAAAAAAAGAAGAAAGAAAGACAGATAAAAAAAAAAAAACAAGCAAAAAAAAAAAAATAGAAAGGAAAAATGAAAACTGAGTAGAAAAAAAGGAGAAGCGCCACTGCTGCCTGGCCGGGCCCTCCCTGGGCCCAGTGAGCGTGCACACGCCCTCCTGGCCGAGCCAGAGGGGCGCCTCGTGTACGCCGCTGCTGGGGGGTTCAGGAGGGGCCTGCCGCCCTTCTCACAGAGAGGAGGTGGAGGAGAGGAGGGGGAGGAGGAGGAGGAGGAGGGAGAGGGGGAGGAGGGGGAGGAGGAGGAGGAGGAGGATGGCGGAGGACTTGAGAGTAGAGGGCTGAAGGATGTGAGGTGGAGGATGTTGGTATGAGATGACTAGTATGATGTATTAGTAGGTGACCGAGTAGGTTATGAGTATGTAGGGGGGTGGTAGGAGCAGTGACGTGTAGCTCTCGTCGCCCTGGGGCCTCGGGGAGGGTGCGACGCCGAGAGGCACCCCGCAGCTGCCGGAGCCCTGCGCTGGGCCGGGGGAGGAGGCCTCGGAGGCCTGGGGCCCGACTCCGAGGCGGCGGACATCTGTGAAGGGGCCCCAGGACACGCAAAGAAATACACACAAATAAAAGAAACACTCCATAGTTTCCCATATGTCATTGTGTCTGTGTGTTTCTTTCCCTCCTGAATCTGGACACAGACTCCGAAGCGGCGGAGTCGGCGGTGGACAAACCTCCCTTTAGCAAACCTCCCCTCAGGGAAAAAACGGCCGCCGCCGGTCCGCCGCACCCAGCGGAAATTTCCGACCCCTGGGCCACTGAGCTCCCAAGACCACACTTCGGCGGTGGACTAACCTCCCTTCAATAAACCTCCCCTCAACGAAAACGGCCTGGGACCGAACCCGACGGACCTGGACCCGCAAAGATGACGGCCGCGACGCCCCCTCGCAGACCGAAAACGGCAAATTTCTTAATCGACGTGTCAGGGTAGGAGGTCTATCCACCTCCGGCGGAGACTCTCAGGATGCAGAGGGAGAAGACAGCCACAGCCTCTGGGCTGAGGAAGCCGCACGCTGCAAGAAGGAGCAAAAACGATCTGTTCTGTAGACGCGTTGTGTCAGAAGTCGAATCCCCAAAAAGCACGCTTACAGAAGACATCGTGTTTGGAGTCAGATCTGATTTCAAAAACAAGAGAAACATGTTCCAGAGTAGATCGGTCTTTCCGCCTTGCAAGTGCGCCCTCCCTTAATGGGCCCCGGAAACGGCAAGGCCATCATTTTAACCGTTTTCGAAAAAAACTGTCTCGTGAAGATGAAAACGGTAAAACACGGCAACCGAAACTGGCTGCGGGATTGAAACTGGAACCGGGTCCGGGAACAAAAAACCGGCGACGGAACAAACAACAACAAAAACGACGGAACTGGCAAGAAAACGTCGAAACGGAATCGGTAACAGGGGGAGGAGGAGAAGGGGGAGGAGGAAGAGAAGGAGGAGGAGGAGGAGGAGGAGGAGGAGGAGGAGGAGGAGGAGGAGGAGGAGGGGCCCTGATCTTTTTTGGTCCTCCTCCTCCTCGCAGGCCTCTAAGCCCTCCTCGCAGGGGATAGACTACAGAACGACGACGACGACGACGACGACGACGACGACGGACGACAACGACGATTTACCCAGCAAAAAATGACTTTCTCGTCGAGTCATACGTCGACTGTTTGTAGATCTTCAAACATTCGACGCCCTTCACATGGACTGAACGAACCAATCAAGTTTGGGGTAAATCCATGTAGTCGACCGCCTACTCGAACGATATCGAGAGGACAACGACAATCGGCGGCGAACGAAGGGGGGAAGTGAGAAGGAGAAAGCCCTCTCAGAAGGCGGCGGGGCCTCTCAGAAGCTCTCGGTCCTTCTGAGAACCTGTGTTTTCGAGAAGGCTTAGAGAAAACTTCTCGGAAGGGCGGACGCCTTCGGAACCTTCTGCGAAGGCCCACCCTTTCTCGCTTCCCCCCTGAGCTCGCCGCCGAGCAAAGAGAGAGACTAGCTCTAGGAGAGGATTTCTTGTCGTCTGTGTCGTCGAGATTTTGAGGGCACCGAAATGATCGATTCCTAGCTTATGAGATTGAGAGGCAACGACGAGGGGCGACTGGCCCAATGTGGGAAACATCGACCGGGAATCGGCGATACATCGCCGAGAAATCGGCGATAGGCCCGTCCTCGATAGCGAAGCCACGCGTTCCTGGGCAGGGGTCACACGGCCCCTATCGGCGATGAACGGGGGAATGGTGGTCGATGCATCCCCCTGAGCTTATCCTTCCCCAACTTAACCCCCGAGACATCGGAGGCGAGAGATCGCCGGCAACCGCCGCTGGTTGGCCGAGCAGTGGGCGCGAGCGGCGGCAGGGCAGACCGCAGCGGCCGCCGCAGGCAGCAG